CGATTCATTATCTTTAAAGCAGTAACTGTTGCCTCGGAATAGATCACGGGTCAGGGAGGGAGGTAGTGAGCTATTCGGAAGAGGCAGTCGTATAATTAAGATCAAACATCACTTAGGTAAGTTCGTTTAATATTATAAATATACTTCCCGCCTCTTCCTCTAGATCACTATGTAGATATTCAAAGTTGACACTGCAACAGTTACAGGGAGAACAAAAGAAAGAGGAACATAGTTCCTAAATTCTTTAGTCTCCAATATTTCTATGAGTGATTAATTTCCATGTGCGAAAACTTATTCTGAATATAACAAGTGTAATCTAACTCGAACTTCGCCCCCATTATTGTTTGAGAATTGCATCTGCAAAATCCTCGGACTTGGTTAAAGGTCTGTTATAAACCTTTTGCGAGCACATCAGATGAAGCAGTCCACCCTGCTGTATTACGTATCGTATCGATGTTCATACCCCTGTTGACAGCTGCTGAGGTGGCCGCGTGTCTAGTACTATGTGCTGTAAAGATCGAAGTGTCGATGCGACTTTTGTCTAGCAGCATGCGGATCCAGCGACTAATAGACTGCTGCTTCTTTGTGAGGTTTCTTATGTCAGAAAAAGTTTAGCAAGTTTGCCCGACTGTCTTAAAACACTGGTTTTATCCAAGTAGCATTCAAGCGTGCCTGCAGCACCTATTTTGGGGTTACTGTGAAAAAATGGTAATATTATTAAGGGTTGGTATCTGCTTGGGGCAGATGTTTTAACTCTGGCCGGGACCTTTATTGCTATTTTTGTGTCCGACATTTCGATATTAGAAATTTCTATTAGTGAAAATGTTTGCTGTAACCAGGGCCATCGATAATTTTTGTGTCAGTATATCTAAAGTAATTGTCTCATTAGGATAGTACGTTTCTAGGTAGCATAAAACTATGGGCGGGTCCCACGTTACGTGATATTTAGGTAAATGTGGTCGCAGTTTGGAAACTACCATTGAAAAATCTTTGGGTTTGGTGATTATCGCCAACTCGTGGCGATATAATCAACGTTAGGGCAGATCGTGTTGTATTCAAAGAGCTATATGACATTCTTTGGTTACACAAGTATGCTAAGAAACATAATATAGATTGGATATTTAATTCCAAACACTTTAAGTTTCGTTGGGTACAAAACTCCCACCATAGCTTCAGCTTTATCCGTAATTATTTTCTGTAGCAGGTTGGCTACCAGGGTAAACGGTGGGAAATCATAATCGGCCCATCATGCTGTAAACGCATCGACTATCTCAGTTTCAGGGTCTTTAAACCAGGAAGGACATCTCTTGCCTTTTGAGTTAATGCTTGAAGCAAATAAATCAATTTCAGGTGCTCTTAGCTCACGACAAATTTTCCTAAACGCATAATCTGCTAGTGAAAACTCTGTTTCTGTATTTAGATGACGAGATTCCTGACCAGCAATAATGTTCTCTTGCGATTTTATATAAGACGCAAAGATAAATAAATTATGCTCTTCGCACTACTGCCAAATTTGCCTTGCAAGGCTGTTGCAGATACGGAAACTGAATATCGCCCATTCTATTTATATATGAAATGGCTGTGGTGTTATATATCTGCAACAAGATTTCACAATTCACAAGGTCTGCAGCAAAGCACTTGAGTCCAAAAAATGCCGCCAGCAACTCTAAATAATTTAAATGGTGCTTCTTATCGTCCTTAGACCAAAAACCGTGGGACTTGCAACTGTTAAAGTAGATGCCCTAACCAGACTGGACACTGTCACTGAATATTTCTAGCTTGAAACTACAAAATATGAAATTTGTTTTGCCTGAAAGGTGTTTTTCCACCAGAGAAGGTTCATTAGAACTTCTCTAGAAATTCTCATCTCGACACTGTAAGCTCCTCGTGTCTTTTTAGTGCCAAAAACTTTGCTCTTTCACAATTTTTGCCGTCAAGCCAACTATATTAAATAGCTGGGCATGCAGCGATCAATTTACCAATCAGTTTAGCAAACTTTCGGATAGTAAATGTAATATTGCTCACAAGTTTGAGAATATGTTCTGATATGGTTTTTGCTTGTCTAAATGTAAACTTACAGTCATGTCTTTTGAGTTATATAAGAAACCTAAGTATCTTATCGTGTGCATGGGACAGTCACACTCCTCTTTGAATTGATCAGAAAGCCTTAATCTAACAAAACTTTTTTTTTTGGTTATACTAATATTTATAAAACATTCGGCGTAACTTCCCCATTAGTAAGAAATCGTCAATGTACAATACTGACCAAAATCTTGTTGTGGTAAGTGGGATAGAACCGGCTTCAGCAATTTTGTAAACACATAAGGTGCTGTGTTAAGGCCGAAAAGGAAAGCAGGTATATTCATACATTTGCCCAGAGAAAACAAATGTTGCATACTGGGATTAGGTGGTAGGCATCCTTGAGATCTAAGGATGCCAGAAACATGTTTTCCTGCAGAAATCTTGTCACCGTTTTATGATCCTCCATCTTAAAATGTTCTGTCATAATGAACTTGTTTTAAATCTTTCAGATTTAAAGTTACTCTATCCGGACCGTGATGTTTGGGTGTTAAAACAATATTTGAGGGAAATTGACCTGGTTTAAAAGAGCATTTTCTTATGGCATCCAGCGACAAAAGACGCTTAATTTTAACATCTAAAAGTCTTTGTTCTGTTAAAGACCATTTCAGTTCCTTAGGGGCAGATTTCTGAAACGGTGCTTGGAAAAACGGGACTAGATAACCTTGACCCATGATAACAGCAGTTTATCTGAAGTTAGTGATTTCCAGGACCGTGAAAAATATTTTAACCTTTCACATTTATAGATTACCTCTAACTGGTACGTGATGGATAGGCCTGGGGTTAGTTGGTTCGATAAATGGGACGATTTTCTTTGGTTGAGCTAGAAATCTTCCGAGTGTTTTTTACCTCGAGGCTTCGAGTTTTCCGGGAATATTTGGGTCTGCCTCGATACCCCTTGACATTTGCTCGAGACAGACTCTTGAAATTTACCGAAGCGGTAGATCTGGCATTAACTGCTTTAGGCTTGAGGTTTGACGATAACTTCTCCATTTCACGAGCTGCTTTCAACCGACCACCCAAATTTTGTACAAACAACCAACCGTCAACAGTTACGTTAGTTTGTGTACCTCGAAGCTGCTTGTCCACATCCACCGAGACTAGATTTCTTCTGCAGGTAGACTCTTCATGGTGGATATCCGAAATTAAACGCCCTGCATCACTGAGCCATCCAACCAGCATTCTTGTATGTGCCCCCTCCCCTCAGCGGCTCCCATCTGGTCTTGCTGCTTAGCGAGTCATGGATCTCGCTGTTTGTGCTGCTCCGTGAGAACCGAGAAGATCTTCAAATTGAGTTTGGGATCAGTAGCGATGCTTAGATTACTGAGCGGCGAATACTTGCTCAATATAGTGGTTAGCACCTCGGGAGACAGACCTTCCTGTAATATTTTGGACCAAATTTGCGCAAGCCCCTTGTTCAGATCATTTGTAGAAGTCTGATCGGCAGATTGTTTTTCCCCAAGAGCGCCAGAATTTCATCAGAGATGGAAACATCGCGATCGGCAATATTGTCTTTTCACAAGGGTGCCAGAATTTCATCAGAGATGGCAACATCGCGCTCGGCAACATTGTCATTTCCCAAAGGTGCCCGAAACTCGTCGGAAGTGGCAACAATATTTCTCTCCAAGAGCGCAGGAATTTTGGTAGAGACGGCAAGATTGCGCTCGGCAACTCCGTCCTCTGCTGCGATGAATGAAATAAATTACAACACACTGTATCTGCCCTTACGATTTGTCAAAACTCGTTGACAATAGTGAGTCGTTGCGGTGCAAGAGGGCTGCACCGGGCGGATCTTGTTTAGCTTTGGAATGCGTGGCTCCACCTGTCGGCGAAGAGTGAACTAAATAGTGAACTAGAGGAAGAGGCGGGAAGTATAATCAACACGCACAGTTACAAAACGAGTTCACAACAACAGTACTAGTGTAGTAGCTAGTGCTAAGTTGATACCTTGTAGAAAAACCTACGTTGTCACAAAAAAACCTAGAAAGTGTCAAAAAAGGCGACAAAGCTTCACTTCACTTTTCAAGATACGTAATACAGGTGCCGATTTTGACGTCTGATCCAGTTACCATACAGCAGGTAAGCAAACTGTGGAGTGCTGTCGGTAATGAACGTAAATTTGTTTTAATAATTAAGTTCAAAATAGCAAAGAAACTTGAAATTCACGAGAATATCTACAACCTAGTTGCACGACTACACAAAAATGAAATTATAATCTCAAAATGTTACCCAGACAATAAGAGTGTGAAGATGCATTAATTTGCCGAAAACTGGATGAATCGCCGTCTCAGGGTTTCGTACAAAACCTTTCAGAGAACAGAAATAAAGTGCATTTTCGAAACAGAAGGAGGTGTTCCAAATAGACTGAGGTACACCTCGAAAAGATGTTACAGGGCTCTGAGGCATTTTGTGGGGAACCGCGTTACTATAATGAATGGTAAAAAGTATTTTATGCTATAGTATTCATAAACGAGAGGAAATGATAGATTTTACACCCCCGATACAGAGAATTGTCTGAATGAAGTAACATTCAACGCAAATGCAAAATTTGCCAATAAAGTTCTAATATGGTACGTGATTTCTGAGGCCAGGCTTTCAAAACTCTATGCTGGTTGAGTTTGTTTAGGGCAAGGTTCGTGGCTCTATTATCAAATTGTTCACTCTATTACCGATACGCTAAATTAGTACTACAGATATATAATCCTTTTTATCGGTATAAAAGGGTTTAATTCCATTCAAACCGATTTGGGTCAAGTTGCAGTCCATTAACTAAATGATATTTTTTTAAAAGTATTTCAAGTGTTATACAGCACCAGCACTACATAGATGCTCAGCATACATATTAAAAATGGACATACCGATTCGATGATGCCTGCCTATTAAAAACATTCGACATGGCATTCGAGTCCCTCCCCTTAGTCTCAAATTTTCAAGTTAAAGCATGTTACACTCTTGTCCCCTCTCGCTGTTAAAATGTAACACGCTGTGAGCTATACAAACTACACAAACTATTATTAATGATTTTCGAACAGCCAACGCAACGTACGGACACTCCATTAGGGGCCTTTATCGGAGGATTATGTGGTCTAGAACTGGGCGGATTACAAAAGGCCCGCTACATGATATGCCATTGCGTTCTGTATATAGCAGGTATTGGCAATGGGAACGAACACGGCAGGCGCAAGCATCCATTTGTATCTGGATTTGCAGGAGGCACTGCTCTATATTGTGCCCACAGTACAATGGATCTATTAAGTTACGTCCAGTCACGTATCAGTACTCAAAATGTTTCAATGGACATTTTACTCCTGTTACCAGAGAACTGATGATATACAGGGTGGCCCAACTAAACTCAAATAATTTAACAGCGACTGAAGACAGGTACGAACTTTATTCTACAAAAGTTACTCAAAACTTCATGGAGATTCTGAAAATTAAAAAAATTGATGTTTCCATTTAAAAATCCAAAGTGTAACGCAATATCTTATTTTTGGATCCCTGTAATGTACGGCTATAGGTGCAAACACGTTCCCCTAGAAATCAAAATACACCCAGTCTGTGAAATTCAATGAAATTCTCAGATATTGTGAAATAAATATTTGTGCTACCGATCCTATCTTTCACGTTGCTGGAACCTAGACATCTTTCAGATATAGGTACGTTAACAATAAATTAAGGAATAACTTTGGAAACAAGATTATATTTAGTTCGCTTAGAAGAACTAACAATGTGTTCCCAGTGAAGGTATGCTGTTTTATATCTAATTTTTAACTTTCAAACGATAAAGTAGCTCCTTCACCTTAAATTTTCAAATAAAGACTCTTCTATAAAAAACTTATTACGAAGGAGCTTTATTACCGTTTAAAGATTAAATGATACAAAACGGCACATTTCCAAACAAAAAAAGGTATTTTCAAAAAGTTTACTACTTTTTATTAGCGGCTAAATAAAAGCCATTTCAAGTATGTTGTCTTCGATATTTATGGTGTTAAAGAAATAGTTTAACAACTTCTATCTAAAGCAATTTTCAAATATTTTATTCATTGGTGCCGGGTCACCACTGTGGTGTAGATGCCATCGATTCTGGTGGTACAGAAGGTCTAACCGCCATTGATCATTGATGAGTTGCCAAATAGATTAAAACAGATATCCATGATTGGACCTCTGGGGGTTAGTCTGGAAATTATAAATCGCCAATATGCGGTGGTTGATTTAGATTGACGTCACCTGATACCTACATCACAGAGGTCACTATTTTAAATCGTGATTTTGCGGATACCGCCGTATTGGATTTAGACTAACATCACTTTGCTTATTTTGTTTCCCTATAAAACCATGACTCAAACGATTAAAATTCTGTGTTCAAAATCATTATCAGAAAAAATAATGTGGGCCTTTTTTAAACAAATAGTGCCTTGAGTAATTATGCTTCGGTTTACGCAAACGTTAGTGTTAGCGTTGTTAAGTATCCAATAAGGCTAAAGGTACACTCTGCCGAAATACTATTTTCATAACTCTGCAATTTTATTGTGAATATCCGTAGAATAACTCAGACACATACTGACTAGAACAAGAATGCTTACCATACAAAGAAATGTAGACGCCTTCTTCCGAATGCTAAGTCAACTCACCTGGAAGAGAATTTTAAATTAAACGAAAATGTATTTGAAATCAACTATAAAGACACATGAATCCGTACAAAAGTATCTAGTAGAGGGTTATATAACACGAACAAATGCTTTACGGTCATTTAGCACAGTGATGAGATTTCTTAATTACACATTAATGTAAAGCGCGCGCTAGATGGATTTAATATTTGGCCTAGTTCTTTTTATTTTACGCAACTATAGCAATCTCGGATTTCTGAAGTGCATTCTTGGGTTAGACATTGTACACTGTATCACTGTGGTATTTACAAAATTAGTAATTTTTGTAATTTCAGAGTGTGATTCTTTGAAGAAAAAATTACTAACAGTTTTGGCCATTTCGGTGGCCTTTTCAACAGTACAGTTTAGTTAAAAGTCACTGTCGATTTTATTTAAATCATTTTCATTGTACGAAGGTAAGTCAGATGTTACATTGTGTGATACGACTCCATCGTTTTGAAGCGAGCAAAGCCAATACCAGTTAACTGTACTGGCAGCTAGAAATATCTCCTATAGATGGTTTCTCCATAAAAACCTAATATTGAACAAAATACAAGTTGCAGGAAAAGTGTAAAGATAAATCTTTCTGCTATGCTTGTAACCTTAATATGTACTCGTTATAAACAAACAAAAACTAATTTTTTTGTCTTCCATCCAACTAAAATAACTACAATAATTTGTATTCATAGCTTTTGCTATGTACATCTCATTAGACTAGATAAAGAAGATAAGACCATTAACTGTTTACTACAGATAATCACTAGAAAGGACTGACATCGGAGATGTTAAGATGTGTCTGTAGGAATAATGAACGTCCACCTCCCACGCCTTTCCATGAATCGGTGCTCGTTAATCTACATATAGGGTCCTTGTCAGCACCCAGTAGTCCTGATTCCATCCTACATACTAGGACAGAGATATATGAACCTTTTTAGCGAAAGAGGTCGCTTAGTCGTCGTAAGTGACTTTAAGGGATTGCTGTTTTTCTTTTCGTTCGTTTATACTTTCTACAATCATGAAAGTTTATCAGCGAAACATATAAAGGGATGGTTTTGTTGAATTTTTCAGTATAACGCATTTTGCGTTCAGCCAATTAATTCAGCAGGATAAGTCAAACCTAACACCAGCACACATCCCTCTTCCTCTCACCAATAAGATATCAGATATCATATGATAAGGTATCGGCCGTTGAATGCAATTTTAAGATAAACATTTTTCTAAATAGCTGAAATACGGGCCAAGATACTTCCAATGTAACAAAAGCAAGGTAGTTTTCAAGTCGAAACTGTCGATATACAACAAAAGAAAAGGTTTTTGCAGTTAATGATTTAATAGAAACACGAAGGTCAGGGTTGACAAACAACCTTGATAAGTACGGAATACGAATTAATGAACAGCTTTTTCTTGATTTAGCAAGCATTAATTAAGTTACCCCTTGCTTGTGCTTACCATTGATTTGAATTTTAATAGCCAATAAACAAGATGCTGCCTTAGCACACTAGGCTACAATATTGTGTTCCATCTGAAAAATATAGC